CCAGCATGCTGGCGGGGGAATTCTGGGAATTGAAATCCACACATCTTAAAGGTGTTGCAGTTGAGAGACACTGGTTTAGAGGGTATGCGTTCAGGAAAAAAAAAAAAAGAATCAAAGCCTGCCAATCAGGGAGGGGGGATCTTTTGCTTTGCATTGGAAGCAGTGCCTGTGGGTGGATTAAACTTGCTAGTAAAGTTAGCAAAATATTTCTGGGAGGTGAGGGGGAAGGGGAGGGTAAGTAAATTCTTGTTATATGGATGGTTTAAAACATATACACTCGTTGCCTGTATTATGCTTGACATGGTTAAATACCAGATTTCAAAGGAAATTCAGCAGAGAGGCCATGCTACGGACTCCGTCTGCAAGAGAATTTCATCTGACGGGGCCCAGGAGGTGAGCCTTCTCTGCAGCAGCCCCTGCCCTTTGGAACACTCTTCCCCCAGAAATGAGGTTGGCCCCCTCCCTCTCAGACTTCAGAAAGAAACTGAAGACCTGGTTTTGTCATCACGCATGGGTGGGGATGGGAATAGTCAGTTTTGGGGTTGGCTGGTTCCCTAGTCTTCCCTTTGACCGATATGATCTGGTCACAGGCTGAAATAATATCACCATCTCTTGGATTTGATTGTATTTAATATTGTATTTAATATTTGTATTATTTATGGTTTTACTGATTTTAAATTGTTGTGTTGTGAACCACCCAGAGTCCCTCCTTGTGGGGGAGTTGGGCGGTGATATAAATTTGATATATAAATAAATACACAAATTAGCAATCTGAACTTATCAAAATTGTTGTGTTGTGAACCACCCAGAGTCCCTCCTTGTGGGGGAGTTGGGCGGTGATATAAATTTGATATATAAATAAATACACAAATTAGCAATCTGAACTTATCAAAATTGTTGTGTTGTGAACCACCCAGAGTCCCTCCTTGTGGGGGAGTTGGGCGGTGATATAAATTTGATATATAAATAAATACACAAATTAGCAATCTGAACTTATCAAACAGTCTGTGCTGATGAGCAGCAGCTGGAAAATGGAATAAGAGTGGTAAGAGTGATCAGTGCTTGCCATTGCTGGCTCTCTCTCTCCCTCCCTCAGTACATGATCTTTAAAGGAGGCTATAAATACCGGGAAGCGCTACTGCAGGTATTGCTGCACACTTATTGTATTTCAGACCCAACAAAATTACACTGCAGAAATGCAAAGAAACTTTTAGAGAGGAACAAGCCACAAAAAGAAAGAGATCAATTATTTCTGTTGTCTCCATCTAAATCACCAGACTGAATGCAACTTAGCAATATCCGACCCACCGCAGAAAGATTGTGATGAAAATAATGCTATGGAAACATCTTGGTGCCATTGAAAAGGGACTTCACATCCCTCGGGAAGAAATGGTGACACCTGTGACATAAGATCACCGGGCAAATGTCATGAGTTACATACTTGTATGAGATGTCGCGAGGCAAAGACTTTGTGGCATTTGCATGATGACATGAACACGCATATGATCTCATTTTAGCATCACAGTTTGTTATGGATGCCATTGACCTCAGCCCCCAACACAGGCACACCTTGTGGCATAGTGCTAAGAGAAATGTTGGTGTTAATGCGTGTTATGTGACCTGCCTGACTTACACCTGATTTGAGATGTGGGATACCACAAGAGGGGGACATAGCTGAGCTCTTTTTCTGCAAAAAGGGGAAATTTAGAGCAGGGCTGTGCTCTAAATAGTATAGATAGAGTTTGCCCCAGACCACAAATGTTGGGTGCCATAGAGGTGGTACAGCTGGTGGTTCCTCCTGATTCTACCTTCCATCCAATTACAGAGAAGGCTGTTGAGCTCCCTTCCCTGAATGCTCTTGAGCAGAGGTAGGATAGCAGAGGTGTGCAAAACATTTTCAATTCAAAACATTTCAACTGGACGCTTCCCATTTCAAACCTGTTTTGAATTTGGAACAGGTATTCTAATTGTGCTAGAAACGTTCTAGCAAAGTTCTAACCATTCTGCAAATGTTCTGAGCTTGAAATGGCCTCATTTCAAGTTTGAACCACCTCTTCCAAATTTGAGACAGGAGTTTTTTGCTCGGCACACTTTGTAAATGTTGAAACATTTCCAGTAAGGTCGTAGAAGGCAGTCTCAAACTCAAAGCTGTCCTTTCAAATTTGAATTTGAAAAATTTTGCATGCCTCTGTAGGATAGCCTACAGTGCTTAGGGAGATTTTAAATGGGATTACTAAATGGAACTGGAGGCTGGATTTCCAATTCTCTGATCCTATGTTTGCCCTCCAGTGTTATACCCAACACCAAAGCCATATAGACCACATGCACATGACACACTAGCCCACACATACTTGGACCATACATGTCTGAATACAAGTAACCCACTTTCCGAGATTTAAACAACATACTGAATCATGAATTAGCCCCAGTGGTTGGGTTTGCATTACACACTAGGTTACAAATTGGTGGTGGTGATGGTAGTGGTA